AAGTTTGTAAAACTTAATTATCTGCCATGCTGATTTCCTGAATTGCCCTGTAAACAATGATACATCTAAACACAAAAAAATTTCTACGACTGGGATTGTATGCTGTTTGAGTCAGGGGCTGCTCAACTGACTTGTTTTCTTTACTATTTTTGGATGTAAACAGCCAGAATTCAGCTCAGACAATAAATGTCTCTAAATTTGACATTTTTATTTTTACAACTGTAATTTACTCATCATTTTGCTAATCTTTAAAGTAAACTGACAGCCAGACAAATAATTTTTGTGAGATTAGAGCTTCTTAAAAGGACATTCGTCACACCTGACCATAGCCCTCTTATGATGCATGTCTTTTTTGATGGTAGAGAGATTACGCTGGGATAGTGTGTCTAATGTGATCCGTTTCTTCCTGCAGACACTGAAATATGCCTTCCAAACCCACGATCGACTCTGTTTTGTAATGGAATATGCCAATGGAGGCGAGGTGAGACCTTACATACACACATCAGTCACATGGAGACACACCAATGTGACTCGATGTTGGCAGCTTGCCGTTTAAGCGCAGACACCCCTTCTCTAACAGGGCGAGTGTCTGACTCATCTCCATCTTTATCTCGCCTCTTTCAGCTCTTCTTCCACCTGTCACGGGAACGAGTGTTCACAGAGGACCGGGCACGCTTCTACGGCGCCGAGATTGTATCAGCACTTGAGTACCTCCATTCACGTGACGTTGTTTACCGCGACCTGAAGGTGAATATCAGTTTTGAAATATACAATATCCATACAGGGTTTATATTGTCTTCAGAGGATATCATGTGATGAATTATCATTTTAGAGTTTACCAGGACGGGATTATCAGTTTAATAAAAAAGACGTCTTCAGTTGAATAGAATTGAAGCATTTAGAAGCATTTAAGAGCAGTTGAAGTCTTCTCTCTCAATCAAAGTTACATTTCTATTTGAAATGGTATTCTTATTACCTTGTTTGTGGAATGTGGAAAAGTTGATCGCAGTTGAAATTTAATATTCATGATCAAATATATAATGAATGTCCCTATCAAAGGCCAGCATAAAAAAAAAGTTTTAGATATTCATTCCATAAAATGACAAATCCTTAAAGATCCCCTCCAGACATGCATTAAAACATACAATAATCTGCTAGGAACAATAATGCATGTTTGCTTTTTCTGCACAAACAATATAGTATATATCTTATATAATAACACCTGCATTTTGTGATAATCTTCCACATTTTGTAATAATGCCAACCGGAAAAAAGTAATTCATGCGTTTATTTCTAGCGTGGTTGACTATTGCAAAAGGTTTTTGCCTGGACTCCCCAACAAGAGCATCAGCTTATTCAAAATGCAGTTCATGAAAAGAGTGCAACATTTTGAAATAGCCACTACAATATTTAATAATTTATCTCAAACTGTGGGAAAATGTATTACATATTAATCAAGTGAAAATTGATTATATTTTGTAGAGTTATTACATAATGCAGTGATATTACATAATGTGCTGTCACATACCTCATTACAAATTCAGATGACAATGCTTCTAGTGTGAAACTGTCATTACATCATTCTGTGAAGATCACACTGCAGCAACATAAAGAAACACAGATTTTTGCCTAGAGGGAATTTGTTTGAAATTAAAATGTTTATCATTCTGTTCCCATGTAATTTTGTAGTGTACAATGTTTCTTCTAGTATGTTCTGAAAATGCTGCATTGAATAAAAAAGTGTGAAAGTGACGCCAGTCGCACATTGTATGGCAATATTTGTTCCTTTCCCTGATATACCCTTGGCTTGTTACTATTAACATTACCAAGCTCAAATTGCTTCCATCCACTTTGACTATTGTGGGGGAATAAAGTAATCAATGACTTGTGTAAGTGAGCAGTGACCGTTTTTTTGGTCCTAAATGAGTGGTTGTTTTGTGTTGACATAATAATAATAATACAATTTAGGCTGGTTGATCTGTTGTTTTGCAAAACAACCTTTTTTTATATATATATTTTGTCTATTGGTCAAAAAGTTCAAATTATTTTAACTTTCTTTAGACAGCTGCATACATAAATGCGGCAGCTAGAAAAAGACTATTCCATTACTTTGATTTTAACAAACAAAACTGGATTTTAATTGTAATTTTGGGGAGAAAGGGACACAATTCCCCATTTTTGGGGAATATTATATTATAATATTACTATAATATAATCCATTATGTACATTTCAAAACTTCTAAAAATCTAAGCCCAGACACTGTCATTATATCCATGATCTTAAGACTAATATCTGATGTGTTTTTTTACTCTTTCAGCTAGAGAATCTGATGCTGGACAAAGACGGTCACATCAAAATCACTGATTTTGGTCTTTGTAAGGAGGGCATTACCCCTGACGCTACCATGAAAACCTTCTGTGGAACTCCTGAATATCTGGCCCCTGAGGTAAGGCACTGAGATTTCTGACCTCTACCCAAGCGGCTCCATTTTTCACCGCACTTAATGTCTTCACTTCATATACAATTCACAATCTGCTGCTCTCACGTTTAAGCAGATTTCTGCAAATATTAATACATTACCTACATGTTTACACACATTACAGACAGCTGTCACCTCTGAGACATGCACATGATTTTTAATTTTTTTGTGTATGTGATAAAAGTGGTGCATGTGAACAGATGAGGTGCCGGTGTTCTTACACAGGGTTCCTGCGGGGTCTTAAAAAGTCTTAAAAGCATTGAATTTATGAATTTGGAAATAATACCTTAAAAAGACTTGAAAAAGTCTTGAATTTTGATATCTGGGTCTTAAATTTTGTGCTGTATGTAACTTCTCCGTATCGCATTTTAATTAACTAAGATCAATTAACTTCCAATAATTTAACTTTCTCGAAGCCATCAACCTGTTGTTTAGATCAATCCCAAACTAGGTGCCTTAAAGAAGTTGTACGCCTTAATCACTTCTTTACTGAATAATTATCTTATCGTTATTACCGGGGAAAATATGTAACAGTCCCTTTTAAAGTAGCTGTAATTAACCCCTTCTTAAAAAGCCCCAGCTCTTGACGCGCATGGGGTTTTAGTGCCCAACTATTAGACGCGATTTCTAACCTCCCATTTCTCTCTAAGCATATCTAAGAAAAAATAGTGCGCAAACCAGTTGTGTGACTTTTTAACATAGCAAATAATTTTGATTTGAGGGTTTCAGTGCAGGATTTAGAGTTCAATCACAGCACAGAGACAGCTCCCTGTTAAAGTTAATAATGACCTTTTGATTGCTTCTGACAATGGTACTCTGTATTGTTTTAATTAGATCTTAGGCTGCATTTGACACGCATTTGACCATAATATCTCTTTTACAGAGACTTGAGCATCAAATTGGCATAGGGTAAAAGGAACTGCCTAAGCTGGTTTAAGTCATATTTATGCAGATCGTTCGCAGTTTTGTAATGTTATACGATGAATCTTCAATAAATAACTACAGTTAGTCCATGGAGTTCCAACAAGGTTCTGTACTTCGACAATTCTATTACTTTTATATATGCTCCCTTTTACGGCAACATTATTAGGAATCACTCATTAAACTATTCATGTTATGCAGATGATACGGCAGTTAATAATCTATCAACAAGCCAAAGATTAAATTAATCAATTATCTAAATTACAAACATGTCTCTAAGGACATAAAATCCCTGGATGAGCAGCAGCTTTTCTGATGTTAAACTGAGAAACAAAAACGAAATTCTTTGTAAATTGGCCCCAAAAATCTTTAGAGACGTCCACCTGTCTAAAGATATGTTAATCCTAGATGGCATTACCGTTTGGCGCTCTAGCACCACTGGGTCCAGAAATCTTGGAGTTATCTTTGATCAGGGATTTGTCCATTTATCCATATAAAGCAGATGTCCTAGGACTGCGCTTTTTTCATTTACGTATATTGACAAAAATTAGACATATCATATCACAGCAGATGCAGAAAAACTAATCCATCGCATTTGTTACTTTCTAGGCTGGGATTACTGCAACTCTTTTGTTAATCAGGTTGCCCTAATAAATCCATTAAAACGCTCCAGAATTATTCAAAACCGGCAGCACAAGAGTACTGACAGGAACTAGGAAAAGAGATCAACATCTCTCCCTGTCTAGCTTCTGCTGCACTGGCTCCTGTAAATTTTGAATATAATTTAAAATTCTCCTCCCTCACCTAGCAAGATCTTTTTTTTTTTTTTAGCTCTTCATCGTCAGGCCCCCTTCATTAATCTTGAAGAGCCATAGATACCCTATTACCCTCTAGAGACACTACGTTCTCTGATGTCTGGGCTACTTGTGGTTCATTATAGTCCTAAAAGGCACAACAGGAGCCAGAGCGCTCAGCTACCAGCTCCTCTCCCTGCGGACCCAGCTTTCCAAGTGTGTTCGGGAGGGCAGACACCCTCTCCCAACATTTAAGAGTAGGGTCTTAAGAGTTGCTCTTGATAAAGCTATATAGTTAGGGCTGGAATGCAGGTGAGTCCCTGAACGCGATCTCTTAGTTAAGCTGCCTATAGGCCTAGACTTCGGGAGATTTCCCATGGTGCACTGAGCTCATCTCTTTCCCCTCCCCCCTCTCATCTCCTTCTGCAGCTCATTCATGTCCCATTACATGCATGTTACTCAACTAACTCACTTCTTCCCCGCGGAGTTAATTGTGCTTTCTCGTCTCAGCAGGTTCTTATCGATCCTGGTGGAGCACTTCCTGCCATGGCCTGCTGGATTAGGCCATTACCAATACTGTTGTTTGGCTGTGGCCGCTGTCTTGTCTGTCTTTCTCTTCTCTCTTGTCTGTCTGTTCTCTCCTCATCTCTCTCTCTCGGTCCTCTCTGCTTCTCTCCTCCTCCAGTCTCTCTCTCTTCGTCAAGCTCTTTTCTCTCCACAGCCCAACTGTGCAAGGCAGATGACCACCCACCTAGAACCCGGAAGGGTCTGTCCTAGGTTTCTGGCCCTTTTAAAAGGGCGGGAGTTTTTCTTGACCCCGTCGGCCAAGTGCTTGCGCTCATGGTGGTACTGTTGGGTCTCTGTAAATGTTTAAAAGGAGATTCGGAATCTAGACCTGCTCTATTTGAAAAGTGTCTGAGATAACTTCTTGTTATGTATTGGCACTATACAAATAAAAT